TCAATAGTCCTTTTAAAATCTCCTGTCAAATGTTGTCAGTATGTGCAACTGATCTGAACAGAAAAGGCTCAATGAATGATATATAAATGTTTATGATATGTATGAAAATATCAACATCTCTTATCATAAGGATAATGCAAATCAAAACTGCAGTGAGGAATCACCTAACCCAGTGAGAATGGCTATGATAAAACAAACAAACAAAAACACACAGAAAACAAAGAATAATAAGTGTTGGTGAGGTTATGAAGAAAAGAGAACCCTTTGCACTGCTGGTGGGTATGTAAAGTAGCATAGCCAATGTGGAAACCAGGAAAGGTGAAAAATCTAAAAGTATAACTACCATATGATCCAGTAATGCCACTATTGGCTTTATGCCCAAAGGACAGGAAATCACTCTGTCTGAGAAACATTTACACACCCATGGTTATTGCAGTATTATTCACAATAGCTAAGACATAGAACCAACTTAAATGACCAACAAATGAAGAATGGATAAAGAAAACATGGTGCACACATGCACGCACACACACACACACACACACACACACACAGAATGGAATACCATGCCTATAAAAGAACAATGGTATCCTGTCATTTGACACAAAGTGGATGAACCTGTTATAGAAGTCATAGAGCTAAATGAAATAAGGTAGGCTATGATAGACAAATACTGTTATGCCCCTGCACTCTATGGTGAGAACTGAAGGATTTGATGGTATGAAAGTAAAAAAGAGCCAAGAGTAAATACCAGAAATTCTGCAGGGTGGAAGGTGGGGAAGATTGGGAGAAAATGACTAATGAACACAAAAATGAATGTAAATAAATGAAACAGGTTATGAACTGGACCTCAACGAAGTAAAAATGTCATTGACAATTCAATATATGCTTAAGAAAACACTGGGTTGTGGGACCAGCAATTAGCATAATGGCTATGTTGCTGGACTCCCACATAGTCGACCGTGGTTCGAGTCCTGGACCCAGTGGCTTAAACTCATACCAGGCACATGTGCGTGCATGCCCAAGATCCCAAGAGGAGAATGGAGGAGAAGGGATTGCAATGTGGTCATCCCCCCTAGGGGGGTGATTTCTCACTTTCTGTCTCTGTTTCTGGCGAGTGCATGTGCCCTATAGCAAAAACCTCTTAAAAAAAAAAAAAAAAACCTCTCCAAAAGACAAAACAAAACAAAAGCCCACTGGGTTGTCAGAAATGTCATGACTTCTTTTTTTTTTTTTTAAGAGGTTTTTGCTATAGGGCACATGCACTCGCCAGAAACAGAGACAGAAAGTGAGAAATCACCCCCCTAGGGGGGATGACCACATTGCAATCCCTTCTCCTCCATTCTCCTCTTGGGATCTTGGGCATGCACGCACATGTGCCTGGTATGAGTTTAAGCCACTGGGTCCAGGACTCGAACCACGGTCGACTACATGGGAGTCCAGCAACATAGCCATTATACCAACTGCTGGTCCCCCATGACTTATTTTTATATAGAAAAAGTATGCCACGATTTCTCTGATAACCCAGTAGTAGGACTGTTACCAAATGTATCCACATAATATAATGCTCAATGTTGAAGGAATGTGTATATATTACATGTCATATGCATGTGTAATATGTGTGAAAAGTTACTGCACCCCAGGGAACCAGCAGTTAGCATAATGGCTATGTCACTGGACTCCCACGTAGTCGACTGCGGTTCGGGTCCCAGACCCGGTGGCTTAAAACTCATGCCGGGTGCGTGTGCGTGCGTGCACAAGATCCCGAGAGGAGAATGGAGGAGAAGGGATTGCGGCGTGACCATCCCCTCTGGGGGGGTGATTTCTCGCTTTCTGTCTCTATGTCTCTGTCTGGCGAGCGCATGCGCCCTATAGCGAAAACCTCTAAAAAAAAAAAAAAAAAAAAAAAAAAAAGTTACTGCACCCCAGTAAGATGTACAATTACATGTAAGCCAGAAATCACAACTTTCAAATACAGAAAAATTTAGTGTCTGAGTTAGTTAACTCATCGACCAATGAACACAAAAAATGGAGTGTTAAAACTGATATTTTTAAAAAACACATGCTGTTTACTTGTTTAGTAGCTGAAGATGAGGAAAAATTATTAAGGCATTCTAATGTAATAGAATTCATAATGTGATTTTCGATGCATTCCATACACTGTGTATATACACTTCTGTTATAAACATTTTGATGAAATTAACCTGGAATTTTTTTTAGGCCATTATTAAGCTATAGACTTTATGTGACAAAATCTCATAAACAGGACTTATGTTAGTGTGTATTTATCAATTTATCAATTCGGAATTATTTAGGGTCTAATCTAAACTGACCTAACACCTAGTCACATATATTTTATACTGAAATGACAGAATTGGATATGAGCTTTAAGATCCATATCGTTGGGTTGTGGGAAAGTCATGACGCTTTCTACATAGAAAAACAAAGAAAAATACAGCATGACTCTTCCG